GACAGACAGAGCGGCTCCTAAATCACCTGGACCGAGACCAGGAGGGACGGAGGGACAGACAGAGAGAGCAGCTCCTAAATCCCATAGACGATACATCATTTATTCAAGCTCACAAAAGCCTTTCCCGATATTTTTCTTTGCTGCCTTTTCACCCCACCCTTGTATCTCCAAATATTTCATTATTATAATTTTTTTTTTTTTATAATTCCAAGGCCCTTTAACCTCCGTTGTCTGCACAGCTCCCGCTTCATCCAAACCTTGCTTCACTTGTGCTTTTTAAACCTTATCTCAAATTATTTCCTGCTCACATTCGTCTCATCTGCTCCTAATTAATTTCCTGCACGCGTTAATTGCACCCTTTCCCAAACCCAGCAGCCCTGGGTGTCCCTGGGTGTCCCTGGGTGTCCCTGGGTGTCCCTCCACATTCCTTTTCCTCTTCTCCGTGTCCCAAGAGCACAAACTGAAATTTTACCCCACGCCCTTTTCCTAAACCACCCACGAGCACAGGAAACTGTCAGTGATTCTCAACAGTCATTAACTGCGGTGACAACGGGGTGACAGGGGGGTGACAGGAGGGTGACAACAAGGTGACAGCGGGGTCCCCACCCCACAGGCAGCCCCGAGGATGGAGCTGCAGCCGTCCCACCTGGATCACCATGTATTTCAGCAGCAGCTGCAGGAAGTAGCAGGTCTGGTCCTCGGCAATCTTCTCTCCCGACACGGCTGGCACGAGCGGCGTTATTTCCTCCGGGAAAATCTTGGCTGAAAGCCAACAATGCCAGCACGGCACGCGTGAAAACGGTGCACGAGAAGAGATTCCCTGTCCAACGCGGATTTGGAGACACCCACAAGGGCACTGCCACGCTGGGATGTCCCCAGTGCTGGCACAGAGCCAACAAGGGGGGGAAACCTGCCCGTGGGGCAGGGAAATGGTGACAGAAAAACACCCCACAAGAGGCCAAGAGTGAGCCCTGGCTGCTCAGAGGGACAGCAGGGGACAACTCGGGATTAACCCCAGGGACAAGCAGCAGCACCCAGGAACACCCAGGAAACTTGAGTTGAACAGGCAGGAACACCCAGGGACACCGGTTGGACATCCAGGAACACCCGGGGACACCCGGGGACACCCAGGGGACACCCAGGGGACACCCAGGGGACACCCAGGGGACACGGTGCTCACCGTCAGGCGTGGCCGGTGGGCTGAGCAGGCTCTCCAGCGTGCAGGGCCCTCGGGAGGAAGGCAGGGGAGGGAAGCCGGGCACCAGGCAGGCGAAGAGCAGCACCTGCTCCTCCCCACAGTTGGTCTGCAGGGCCTGCAGCCACAGCAGGAACAGGCGGATGCCCTCGCACCTGAGCTGCGGGGGACAGCGCTGTGACACACGGCTGTGGCACCGAGTCACAGCCCTGGGCAGCCCCCGCCGTCCCCCCCCCAGCTCCAACAATTACAGGTATTGACCAACAGCCACTAATGGCTTCTGCAGGTAACTTCACAAAGGTCATCAGAGCAGCAAAATGACCGAAAACAGCACTAAAATAATCATTTATCACGATAATAAAACTTACTGCCCAAAGGTGACAAACCACAAAGGCTAACAATCAGGAAAACACGGAAAGATGCAAACTAGCGTGCTGCACAGGAATTGGGTGAAAATAAATATGAGAACATCAATGCAGTACCTTGAGAGAATTTCCAGTGTGCAAAAGCTTCTTCAGAATCGACCCTGGAGCAGGAAAATGAAATAGACGCCATCAGACACTTCCCACCACAACGTTTTCACAAATTAATTTGATTTTCATTTACTCTGGGGCCACTGCACGGGGTTTTAAGACAACCCCAACTGAATCTGGCTGCAGTCACCACCAGCCAAGATGAACTGTGATGTATCTTCCCTCTGGGTTTCATCAGAGGGCCGTGTCTCTAATAATCTTCATTAATGGTAAAATCTGGGAATTGCACCCACTCCTTCAATGGATCTCACCGTTTCCCAAGGTTAAACGGAAATCATTGCCACGTGCAGGAAATGCACATTACCACGAAGCCACGTGAAATCACAAGGCAGAGGTGCAACTAAACGCTCTGCCCAGTTCTGCACATCATTTTTTGGGACACGGATTTTAAAAAAATCCTGCTGCTACGAGCACTCAGTAGAAGCACAAGGGATGTGTCAGCCACAGAGCAACTGAGGGGAACCACTTTGGGCTCGGGCTGGTCCAGCTGCACCCCTGGTGCCATTTGGGAGCAGAATTTGAAGAGCAGGGACGAATCCAGGGCGGGGGAGATGATGGAGTTAAACCATCCCACGGATTTCAAGGGGTCCTGGCCATCCAAGGCTGCTCCCTGCCAGGCTCCTCCTGCTCCCTCCCTTCCTCCAGAAGCTCCAACACGAGCAGAGCGAGGGGAAAGAACAGCCTTGGTGTGAGGAAACCAGCCGGGCTATGGTGTGCCTGTCACAGCCAAGGTCACATCCTACCAGGCTGCTGGGAAAACCATTTCATCAGAATCTGCACAAGCACCACGTAACTCACAGCTCTACTCACGTATCACTCCTCAAAAGAAAAACTGATCCAAAAGAAGCTACTGAAAAGTTCATGTATTTTCGGTTTAAACCATTTCTTCTTACCTATACTGCGAAAATGCCATCGATAAAAAATCCTCTCGGGCAGCAGCTGCAATATTTTCTGCAGGAAACAAAACGAGTCAGATTTTCCCACAATCAAACTGGTTCATCGGGGCAGACAGGGAAATGGATGCACAACACACACACACAGAGGGGCTGGGAATACACACGCAGTTCCTTTTTTCTGGCAGCACGGACCACGCCTTGGGCTCGGCTGTGGCACCTCACAACTTCCCAGCCACGGAAAAAGGAAATTGGGGAAGTACAGGGAAACGGGAAACCGGATTGGAACACTTGTGCCTGGAGCCGGGTGACAGCAGCACTGCTCCACAGCTGGAGCGGGACACTCCTCTGGCAATGAGGGGCTCCAGAAACCACATCCACCAGCCGGAAGAGTCTTTTGGGACACGGGGGACATTCCTTTCCCCACGGCAGAGCATGGAAGTGATGCCAAGGGCACAGGGAGCCAAGACCTCGGGTCACAGACAGGCTGGTCACCCTCCAGCACAGCGCTCAGCATTTCTGAAAGGTGAACCAGAGGGGAAACGCAGAGCAGGCACGGCCCTCTCCGTGCTCCCGGTGCTTGGCTGCAGTGCCACTCCCCCAGCCCCTCCCCAGGAGCGGAGGGTCCAGAGGTCGAGCTCCGTGTCCGTGGGCAGCAGGAATGCTCGGGATGAAGGATCTGACTGGCTAAAAAAAAAAAACGAGGCCGTGACTCTCAGAGGGGCTTCAGCTGTTAGCCAAGCACCAGGCTGCTGCCAACCACATCCCAGCATCCACGGACTGAGCTCGGGTTCTCCACCTGAACATTCCAACACTGGCAACCTCCCACTCCTGCACACCATTCCTGGCATGAATCATCACTGAATTTGGCAGAAAGGAATCCTAAGCCAGCCCAGGAGCTCTTCTAACCTAACCCAGCCTAACCTGACCTGGGTCTGTGCCCAGGCTCACCAAGAGCCTCGTGTGTGCCCAAGGAAAAGCTCCAGGAAATAAAACCAGCAACAAAACCTGGATTCAGGTGTCACACAACAGCCTGCAGGGAGGAAGCTGCAGACACCTGGGAGATCCGTGGCAGAAGGTGAGCTGGGACAAGGTGGGAGCTGCACAGGCTGGAAAGGTGCAGAGCCCCACAGCGAACACCCATTCGAACAAAGGGAACAATTTTCACGCCCCAGTCTCAGCAAACTTTAGCTTGCAGCCAGAGAAAAGCAGGAAAACAAACGCTGCTGCTGCTGCTGCTGCTGCACAGCTCAGCAAGGAGCAGGAAAACCAAACCTCAGCTCTGAGCTGCACAAAACCGGGGGGGGGCTGGGGCAGAAAACAGCAGCCTCGGGGCCCTTTGCTCTTGACAAAACACAGGATCCAACAGCCTTGTCAGGTGACAATCACAGCAGTTCAAGGGTCCAAACCATCAGTAAGGACAGCAGCTCCTGCCTGAGCAAAGCTCCCATATCCCACAGTCTTTTCCACACAGCCCACCAAAAAAAAACCAAAAAAATAAAACCACCCAGGTGCCAAGTCCACACCATTCCATGTCCATTCTGGAGGCTGCAAGTCAAGCCCAGTCCCAGCAGCACAACTTCCAGCTGGTGAGAGACTGCACAACCCTGAGCCAGCTCCAGTTGTTCCCTTGCACGTTGCCTGCAATATTTTGTGCACCCACTCACTGCTGCTGGTAAAGAACAAATTCAGTTTCCTCCCCTCCAGCCACACTGCTGTGAATCCGAGCTGGCTATTGACATCTTGTTCCCAGCTTCACACTACACTAATAAGAAATACCTTCAGAAACCCCACAGTGAGAAATAATATTGCTTTTTCAGAAAACACATGGATCTATTTAATGCTTAGTGCTTTGCTGCATCTGTATGGTAATCCATTATAGCACACTTGAAATAGAAATTAGGTATTACTACTGATCAACACATCAGGGTATCTGCCAGTTCTTTTAACTGATTATCCATAGTTCTTTTTCGTTTGGACTTCCTGCATGACTAGGAATAATGCTGAGTCTAAATCTTAGTTTACACACGATGCTGCTTTTTTGAAAGATGTGTCTCTTTGCCTGAGGCAAAATAAAAACCACCGAGGTTTGCACTGTGACAGGCTGGCCCTGCCTTACCCCAAACTGCTCTCGGGGTGTTCAGCCACCCAAACCTGCAGCAATTCAGAAATTTCAGGAATTTTCCATCTCCTGCTCACAGGCTGGCCAAGAGTCAGCGTGCCTGCAGCAGCTCAGGCTCAAGGAAGAGATACTCCATTTACTGCCTTAATAAATTATTTACAGCTCTTTGTGGAGGGAAAAAGTCTGCCCAGAGCACACAGGGCACTCAGCAGTGCCCCAGGCATAATGAGGAAAGATTTCTGAAGGAAAACATGTGAAACACACAGCTGGGATTTACCACAGAACGTTACTGCAATTGTGGCACAACAAACTGTAAATGGTTCCAAAAGTCATTTTCTAGGTGTAGGAAAGTAGAAACATCAGCACTTGTACTGTTACAGACAGAAAAGCTCCTTTGTTACCCTGCTGACACTCACACCTGCACCGGGCTCAAAAAAAAAGCACAAAATCCACACAAAACACGAACTCGGGGAAGCTCCTGTGCACCTGAAAAATTCTGAGCGTCAAACATTTCATCCAGTGAACCTGCTCCATCAGTGGGATGCATTCCATGACACCATCAGCAGGACACACGTGGCTGCTCTTAAATAATGAAGAAAAACTACAGGGAATGGGAATAAATGGATCAATGTGTATCAAACCCATCCCTCTGCTTTAACTTCACTAGAGATTAAAAACCACAACGTCAGAGGAACCAGCTGCAAGGAAGGAAAAACACTTTCCCGGCAGAGAAAACCACCCCAAACTCTCACAACCAGGCGATGAGGCAGAAAATGGACAAAAATCCATCAATCCATCACTGCAGTGCCCCTCCCGGCAGGTCTGGGACACTCAGGGCTCAGAGCTGCCAAAGCTCCAGCAAAGCCAAAGGCAACTCCCTCCGAAATGTTTCCCTTGATTTTTAAGCTGTTAACCCTCAGCACGGGGACTCAGGATGTGTTAATCCTAAGGAATTACCTACTTGGCTAATTAGCAGGAAATGCAGCATCCCCCTGGCTCCTGCTGCCATCACACTGAACATGGACAGCTCAAATCTCCATTTGTTTGGGTTCCTGTGGCTTGGAGCACGCCTGCTTCATCTCCTGGCATTTCTGCAGCAGGAAGAGTTTCCCCCGCCCCAAACAATCCTGATTTTTGGGCTGATGGATCTGCTTCTGGCACATATTTACCTAATTAACTGCTTAAATAATAATAATTAAAGGTGCCAGTGCTTTCTGGCTAGAGCTTATGCTAGGAATTTCAGGGTGCATTGTAAGAACATTTTTTTGTGCCAGGCTTTCATCTGGTCCAGTGATATTTTCTCACATCCAAATACATTCAGGTGATAATTCCAGTCAGAGAGGTACCTTGGGAAATGATCTGGCCTGGACTATCCTCATTTAAATTAAAGCAATCCCCATTTGATTATGCAAAAATTAACCAGGTACCATTTCCTCCCCAGACACTGCCTATGGCAGACAAGCTCCTGGAAGTGAGAGGTGTTATAATGAATAATAAAAACACAGAAATCAGCATTTCACACACTCACATCAAACTGCCCTGCCTGGACACGTGCAAAATAAAACACACACAAACACAAATCAGGTTTTGTGGCATGGAAAACTTACTTCAAAAAGGAAGAGGATAGAGTCCAGCTCCTCCCTTTGGGATTTATTCCCTGCAAGACACAAAACACGTGTGACAAAAGGCACAGGGTGAGGCTGATGTAGCCCAGCTGAGCTCCAAGGTGCCACTCAGGTCACTGAGCCTTGAAATAAAGAGCCCAGGGGTGAGCTGGGCCCAGGCTGCAGTGATCTCTGCCCTGGCCATGCCTCAGCTGAGCACAGGGAGGATGGCAAGAATAATAATAACATCAATAATAATAATAATAATAATAAATGCTGAAACCAACCCAGAAACGTGATCTCCTTTCAGAGAGCCCAGGCTCGCCCCCCCCCCCCTTGCTACCATAAAATTAAAATTATTCGTACTGCCACAGTAGTGCAGGAAACTGTTAGTGTAAATATTAATAAATATTAGTGGATCAGTGTAAATGCAGATACCTGACAGCCATTGGACAGGCTCTGATGGAATTCTCTGGAGCACAGACCAAGAGCTGCTGGAAAAAAAAAAACCTAAAAATTACCTTTTTGTTTCAGGCTGCTTTCCAGCGTTATGAAGTTTTCGTAGAATATGAAATAAATTTGAGAGTAATTGCTTTCAAAAAACTGCTTCAGGTCGCTTCCATCCACAATATCTGAAAAGAGGAACAAGCAGAGCAGTTACACAAGGGCAGAAAGATGAGAATTTCAGGCATTCTGCAAATTCAGCCTTAGAGAACGAAATTAAAAAAAAAAAAAAAAAAAAAAAAAAGAGGTGAGTCTTAGCAGAACAAAACACCAGGAAAGATTCTGGGATGCAAATTCGGCTCTTGCATTCACGTGGCAAGCAGCCCAAAGCAGAAAATGCACATTCCCAACTCATTTCTTACAATAACAGCACAACAGCACCTGCCACGGTGCTAACTCCGAGTGAAATTCCAAATAAGTTTATTTTCTGCAAAGAAAAAAAAAAAAAAAACAAAGTTTCCCAAGCCTGGCACTTGCCAAACACGAGTGAATTTCCTCCCTTTGGTCTTTACTGCGATCGATTTGGCCAAGGAGAGTTGGGTGATTTCCCCCAAAACAAAGGGGCCGAAATTAACAGCACATCTCCTCACCTCGCAAGAAACCCACTTGTTACACCAAAAAAAAAAATTTATTCCAGCTAGAAGGACCAATAATATCCCAGGACTACAGAGGAAAGAATAACTTTAGCCCCGGACAAGTTGATTTTTATTTAAATTAATACCTTTGCAGCAGTGAGGCTCTGCCTGGCCGCTTGTACTACGGAGATAATTCGGGGCAGGGAAACTCCTGAACGTGGAATTTGTTTCCTGCAAACCACTGGTCGTGAATTTGCAGGCAAAGTGCAATTATTCCTCCCCATGAATGCGTCCCGTTCAACACAAGTCCGCGGGAAAAACAAGGCTTTCATTTACAGCCGTTTCGTACGATGGGAATGAGGTCATGAAAATCTAAACAAAAAGGAAACTTTCCCTCGAAACCTCCAAGGGAGGAGAAAGGAACTGCCGAGCCAAGGGAGCAAATTCTGCTTTTTTTGTTTTTTTTCCTCACCTCGGGGGTGACGGGAGCTGCGTCCCTGCAGCCACAGGCGGGCGGCACCCGCCTCATTCCTGCTTTTTCCTCCCATGGAAAACATCGGGGGGAAAGCTCCCTGTGCCATTCATCGCCACCTGAGACCAGGAGATAAAACCCCGAGTGCGGGGAAATGCACTGACCGCAGGAACTGGCTTTATTTACCAGATTTATTTCCTTATTTCACCTCCCGGGTCGCCACAGCTGCACCCAGAGCTGATCCATTGCCCCAGTCCCAGGCAGGACAAGCAGCAAAGAGAGGGCAACAGGCTCAGGAAACACCGAGACACTCGCCAGGGTCACACCCCGCTTCTTCTCTATAAACAGGACATCCTGGCTCCCCGGGAACTGTCAGCCACGCTGCTAAATTTAAAATTTAGGGTAACGCTCCGGTTCCACCCGCTAAGAGCCTGAGGCTATTGCCAAACTCTCACCGCTATCCAAAAATCCAAAATAAAAACTCCAAAGGGGACACTAAGCCTGTCCTCAGCACACAGAGTCGCCTTTTATTGTTTATTTTAACTGCCACGGTCACCTGGCAGAAATCAGCCCTTAATTCCACCAACTTCCAAAGCCACTTTTTCTCCAAGCTCTCTTAATCTTCACGTACTTGAACAATTAAAGGAGATGAAGAGAATCTCGCAGCCACACCCTGGTTAATGATAAACCTTTAAGGACCAGCCTCACCCCAGAAATAATGCACAATTCTTACTTATCTCCACAAAAAGTGTGTCAGCCCGAAACGGCCCGTTACCAAAACACCCTTCCCGGCTGCTCCAAGCGTGCCCAGAAAAAAAAAAAAAAAAATCCATTGCGACAAAAGTCCCACAGAAACCGCTCCGGGGAAGAGCAGAGGCTTCATTTATGGCCAGGCAGGGGGAAAGAAGAGCCAAATCTGTCCATGCCCACCGCTCCTTTTAAGTCTCATCATAAAAAAAGTCACACGGGTGGCACTTGCACAAAGCGCGCTCAGAACTTCGCAGATTGAACAAAAGTCCTGGCCACGAGCACGTCCCCATCGAGGAAGCAGGGGAACGTCTCCAACGCGACTGAACAGCCCCATGGAAGCCGTGCCATGGGGACAGAGCATCCCTCGGAGCAGGAGCCCTGATCCCAAATTTGGGCCTCAGTGGGCTGGAGAGGTGGCACTGCCAGCACCAATCTTCTTTTTGCCTTCGTGTCACCGAAGCCACCACGCAAAGCTGCCAGGAGCCCTCGCTGATGGAAACGCTCGTTCCTTCGGTTCATCCCTGCCCCGGGACATCTTCCCTCCCATCTGCCACCAGCACAGCAGAGACGCTGACATTTTGTTTACATTTCAATCCCCGAGACCTGAGCTAACAAAGGAAGGGGAGCTGGCGTCTCCCGAGGAAACAGCAGAGCAGGGACAGCGACCTGGGCTCCAGGGAAGCAGTTTGGAGCTCCTATTGCTACCCCTGCCCAGGGCACACGCACCTGGGGACAAGGGGAACAGAACACGAATCCAACTCCTCCTGAGCCTTTACACGCATGGCAAGGTCCTTCCCACGTGTGGAGTTGTTTGTTTGGTTTTTTTTTTTTTTTCCGAGCACGGACGACACCTTGGCAAAGGGTCCGAGGGCGCATCCTCCAGGAGAACAGGGAATCCCCCTGGCGCTCTCAGCAGAACATTTGAGCGGCGAACCGAGCCCAGCGATCCCTCGGAGCCCGCCCATCCCGGGGCAGGGGCACAGCTGAGCCCCATCAGCCTCTTCCCAGCCCTGTCCCGACACGGAGCGGCCGCACCTGAGCTCCAACACAGCGCCTCACCATCAGCCGGTGTCACCGAGATCGCTGTGACACTGGTGGCACGGAGCCACCGCAGGACACCGAGCGCTCACACAACCAGCGGGTCACCGTCACCCCGAGCCGGTGGCACCGATGCCGGTGTCACCGACCGGGGCACCGCGTTTGTTCCCCCACGGCACCTGCCCCGCACACCCGGGAGGAACCGGGGGCGCCCCTGCCCCGCACACCCGGGAGGAACCGGGGGCGCCCCTGCCCCGCACACCCGGGAGGAACCGGGGGCGCTCCTGCCCCGCACGAACCGGGGGTGCTCCTGCCCCGTTCGCCCCGTGCGGTGCCCGGGCAGCCCATACGGAGCTCAGGACCCCCCCGGTGCCGGTACCGGGGCCGGGTTCCCCCCCCTGAGCCCAGCCCCTCTCACCCAGCAGCGCACGGAGGTGCTTCAGGCGGGTCAGCACGTCCCGCTTGGGGTCCAGCGCCTTCTGCGTGGATTTCCTGACGTCGGCGTGGCCCTTCCTGGAGAACATGCTGGCTGCGGGGATGGAGGCGCGGGGCCGCCGCCACCGCCCGGGAGCGCGCCCTGGCTCTCCCGCGCGCGCTCCCGCCCTCCGCGCTGCGCGGGGCGCGCCGGGAGCTGCGGCCCGCCCCGCTCGTGACGTCACCGCCGAGGCCGCCGACGTCACCGGGGCGGGCACCGGGAGCGCGGGAGACCGGGACACCCCCCGGGATCCACACCCGGGACACCCCCCCGGGATCCACACCCGGGACACCCCCCCGGGAGCATCCCGGGAGAGCCGCGGGAATGGCCCGGGCAGGGCAGCGGGAACGGAGGCGCCGTAGCGAGCTGGATCCTAGGCGGGCTCTCGGCTCGTCATGGAATCACCGAACCACAGGTTTGGGTGGGAAGGACCGTAAAGGCCTTCCAGTGCCACCCCTGCCGTGGCAGGGACACCCTCCACCGTGCCGGGCTGCTCCCAGCCCCGTCCAACCTGGCCTTGGCACTTCCAGGGATGGGGCAGGCACAGCTTCCCCATCCTCCCAGGGAAAAAATTCTCCCCGATATTCAGTGCAGATCTCCACGGGAAAACATTCAGCTTTGGATTTACTGCCTGCACTGTAAACATAGAAATACATAACTATACAAATGTATAAAGATATAAATATATAAGTATATAAATATATAAGTGTATAAATATATAAGTATATAAATAAGACGTGCTGTGTTTACACACAGGGCAGGCTCGTAGCTACACAACAAAAGCACAATCCATGCCCGAGGCAGAAGCCGGCAGGGTTTCACTCCAAGGCCCTCGGATGCTCTCAGTAAAACTCGGGGTGAAAAAGAAAACTCATTAATTTCAAAGCAGGCTGGGAAAGGAAACCAGGGGTGCAAGGGAAATGACCTCTGTGTGTCTATCTTAGTTGTCAACAAAATGACTTAAAATCAATTGACACACCAGACAAATTATTTTCTCAGGCACGAATCAACACAGAAAATAAAATGCCACAGGAATTAGTGTTGTTAGAAGCAGCAAACACAGCTGTGGCTGGAAGCTGCAGTGGACAGATGAATACATCAATAAAGAAGGAGGCTGGAGGAGAGGTCCTGCTTGTGAGCATGGCACAGCTGTGCCCTCTGCAGCACAGCTGGATCCTGGAGGGGCAGGGCAAGGGCTGGCTGTGCCACCAAAAGCTGTGGCAAGAAGTGAGAAGTCACTTGTTGGAGTCATCACAGCCTTGGAAATGAAAAAACTGATCAATCCCTTCGGTTACACAGAAAAGTTGAATGCTTGGATCAGCCACAGAAAATCCATGGCTGACACATCCTCCCTTGGCTTGGAGCCTGGCTCAGGCCACGAGAATTCCTGTTTGTACCCCATTCCCATCACAGGTAATTCCCATTGTACACCATTCCCATCACAGGTAATTCCTGTTTGTACCCCATTCCCATCACAGGTAATTCCTGTTTCACACCATTCCAGTCACAGGTAATTGTGTTTCACACCATTCCCTCACACCATGACCGTCTCCTCCTGGAGCAGTTCCCATTCTGGTAATTTTGGGTGCTGTGCTGTGATTTCAGCATCCTCAGTTTCCCGGGGAGGGTGAATTGGGATGTTCTGGCTTTCCCTTTCACCACAAAACAATTCCTGCAGTTGGCTGAGGAAGCACGTGGTTAAAGTTTTGGCTTGCTCTTCTTTAATTTTTTTCCCTTTCCTTTTATTTTAATTGATTTACAAAACTAACATCTTCCAGCTTGCGTCCTCTGGCGGTTTCTGACTGTTCCGTGTTTTTGTCCTGTTCTGCCTTGTTGGAAAAGGAGCCACTGCAGATTCAGGAATCGTGGTGATGCAGCTGCTCTGATGTCTGCTAACATGTGATTTTTCAGCACCAAACTGCCTGGCTTTAGGCACTCGGAGGTTGGAGATTGTGCCTGTGAAAAGCTCCAGGGAGCAGAGATGCCAGCCTGGACCCACGGTGCTCTAGGACAGTCCTTGCTGTCCCTTGGAGTTCAATCCTCACCAAATGCAGCTTTTCCAACAATTCACTTGGAGCTGGCACGGGGCAGCAGAAGGCAGAGAATGCCAGTAAAGCTGCAGCAGCGACTCCAGCCCGTGCAGGACAAACACTTTTAAGGTCCCGTGACTTGTGTTTTCTGACAATAGAACATTTGCAGTTTCCCAGAAAGTCAGATGATGCATTTCCGAAAGCCCGTGCTTCGGGCACAATAATTTCCTGAAAGAGATTTGCTCATCCAGCTTTCAGGATCTGAGGTAAAATCTATATAAAGCAGTCAGTCACTTCAGGGGCACAGCAGGAACCACTTGTGGCACAACTGAGCTGTCACAGGCCCCCAGGGGAGTCCTGGGGGAGGTGACAACGCCAGCACCGGCCAGGGGCTCGCTATTCCTTGGGAAAAATCCCTCGCCGTGCAGGAGCCGGCCTGGCTGGCTGTGCCCATGGGGAGAACACCGGGATCCATCGGTCTGGAGGAGTTCTGGGGTGTCCCAGCCCAGCCAAGAGCCAGAGGGAAGGGCTGACCTTGCACAGGCTGTCCCTGCACTGCCCTGCCAGGCTGCTGGCACTGCCCTCGGGGCTGCTCCCACAAGACTTTCTATTCCAGGTGAGGGGCAGAGCATTCCCAGTCCGAAATAGAATGGCCTGAATTATTAATATGTGTTTGCACGCCGTCCCCGAGCTGCACTGCTCGTTCCTTCCTTTCCCCCCCATGCCGGGAGCCGCCTGCTGCCGCAGAGTTTGTGCCCTTGGTGGAAACGTGACACCAGCTGGGCCCGGGGAAACAGGCAGGGTTGCTTTTCCCGTGGAGCCTGAAATTTTAATGGCAGAGATTAAATTACGGAACTTCTCCGCTTGCTCGTGTCAATAGAACGCTTTAGAGACTGAGCCCGGGAAAAAAAAAAAAAAAAAAAAGTAGGGGAAAAGTAAATAGGGGAGATTTGCCTCCCGAATAACCTACAGGTGAGGTAATGGTTTCCTTAGGCTTTCTGTCCTTTGAACCCAACGCTCCCAAGTGCGTGCACGAAGTTGGGTTTTGTGTCCTCTTGCATATCCACATCCATTCGGGAGCCTGAGCTGCTCATTCCTGCCTTGGAATTGTTTCCCTGGATGCTTCCCCGGCTCGGGGGCAGGGGCTTGGCAGAGCCCTGGTGCTGTGCCAGCCGGGGACGAGAGGCTCTGCCCTCTCCGCCCTGCTGTGACTGAGCACGTGGGAAAAACTCTTCCACCCGTGCTCTCCGGTTTTTGGAGGGGTTCTTTTCCTGACGGTGCTCCTGCCGGCCATGGACCCCCTGCCCCTGCAAAGCTCTGCTCCAGCCTCAAACCTCACAGTAAGTGCTGAACCTCTGCCAAGTTCCCTCCCAGTCTGCATCCTGCACCCTGCTTTCCGTGCCTCAGCTTCTGCAAAGGTTGGGAGCTCTGCTGAGTTCATGGAAGCAAAGGAGCCTCATCCATTGAAGCCTCACTGAGGGTCCCCCCCAGCCCTGCTCATTTGGCACCCCAAGGAGTTCTCGCTGTCCCTTGGCCTGTGGGGTTTTATTTAGGAAAAACCTGGGGGAAAGTTTCCACCCATTGCAGCCTATGAGGCGGTCAGGTGTCATTCCTCCAGTAAAAATGATAGACGGGAGAAATCCACTGTCAAAAAAACCCTGTCAGATTTCCTCCTGTGCAGAGGGGGAAAGGGAAGGATTTATGTCGAGGGATGGAAAAAAAAAAAAAAATCCAAAATAGAAAGAGCAAGAGATTGCGTGTCCCCTGATGCCCTCCGAAAGGAAACGGCACGGAGGATGTGAAAATCTCAGGGAGTAAAAACATCAGCCCACCGAGGAGAGAGCTCAGAGCGCCTCTGCCAAAGGCTGAAGGGCACGGAGAGGTTTCTGGCACGTGTGTCACCCTCTGCTGTCACCGACATCTTTGCACGGGGAGCTGCTCTGTCCCCAGGGCTGGCTCGGTGGGAGGCTCTGTCATGTGCGCTCCTGGCACATGATGCTGGGGGCTGAGACAGGGGTCACCTGCTGCCGGGAGTCACAGAAGAAGGGTCCTGGCACCTGCAGAAAGAGTCTTTGCTTTCCTCTTGCGCCCTCCTCGGCTCTCTCGGGTTTATATCGCCACGGATTTAACCCAAACTCTTCTCTTTCTTTGCCCGAACGTTATGTTTGTACTTTCATTTTTTTCTCTCGTCTTGTGTCGGCTCTTGATGGCTCAGAGGAGCAATAAATGAGGAAGGAAGCAGCTGACTGGGATCGCCCTTGAGCTGGGCTTTGTTAACGCCCAGAATGACCACTCTGATGGTCTCAGCCCTGAGAGCAGTTTATTCTGACGAGCCAGGCTGTGTGCTGCCTTCAGTTCTCCTTCTGAAGACAAGATCTCAAATGCTTTTTGTACACGAGAACAAAAAAATCCTTCAAAATGCAACAAAGCAACCTCTGGCCACTGATGCTCCACACATTCCTCCTTCTTTTCTTCCTGTGCAAATGAACGACTGCAGAAAGCAGTGCAGTAATTACAGCCTGCACAAACGGCTCGGGTTTTCCTCCGTGGACAAGCAGGACAAAAAAATAATAAAAAAAAATCATTTTTTTTACCGACACAGCTGGTGTTCAGATGAAATTATGTGGTTAGCTTTGAAACGGTATTAAAAGAGAAATTTTAATTAACCTGTACCACTGAGTCAGAAGATAATATCTGATGCATCTCACAGGCCTACAGACAAAATACGATAAAATAATTATTTGCAATTAGATATATGCATTACAGACAATGTTGTAATTAAAATGTACTTAATGTCACAGGAGGTCCCTTATTATCAAAACAATTTGTAGAAGGACTGTGGAAACAACGTGATGATTATCCACCCCTCTGGCCAAAAAAAAAAAAAAAAAAAAAAAAAAAAAAATCAGAATTTGCCAAGAAGCATCACTGGGTGGGATCAGATTTACTGGGGCTGATTCCTTTCCTGTTGTGGCCTTTCCAAAGTGGCTTGGGGCCACCAAAGGGCTCCAGCCCAAGGGAAAATTGAATTTTA